AAAACAGGCAAGGAAAGCATCAGGGTGTAGAGTTTTTCAGTCTCCAAGGAAAAGAGATGAGAGCGAGGAGTGACCAAGAAAGGAATTGGCCTTGTGTAAGAATGACAATGTGCTTCTCTAAACACAAGTGTCTCTCAAACCAATCAGAATTCAGATACCGCGTGAGAAACTGACATAGCAAGGGCTAATTGCACAACTCACAACTGCAGGAATTTATGTCCTCATAGTCCTGGATGTCAGAAACAGAAGCCACATTGCACAGGCTCAGGGAGGGTCTATTTCTGTCCTGAGGCTCCAAGAGACTGGGTATTGTGGCTGTGGCCTTGTGGCTACGCCATCTCGTCTCTGCCAATGTCAGATGGCCTTCATCTCTGTGCCTATGTGCCAAATTCCTTCTTCTCAAATGTCAGCCCTGCTGGGTACAACTCACTGGATTCAGTACAAACCCATCCTGACTGGCTACACCGTGGTGACTTAACTCCAAATAAGATCACAGTTGTCCCGTGGAGAAGAGTCTTGAGGGACAGGTGGTACCACGGGGAGAGGCAGAGGAGAGAGGGAGGTGTTGTAACTAAGCTTCCCATGAAAATGTTCTCGTTTGTGTGGATGTGCATGCACAAACACAGGACATGCGTGAAAGGTTGGTTTGACATGCTCCTGGCTTCTCTCGACTTGTGTCTCTCGGGTAGTTTCCAACATCTGCGTTTCCTTAGTTTTCTCTAGGCGAGAGGGGTGGAGAGAAGTGTGGTGCTGCTGAGATAGAGTCTCACACTCAGGCTGGCCTCCAACACGCAGAAATCCTCCTGCCTCGCCTTCCAGTGTTGGAACAACAGGGTGTGAGCCACCAGGACCAGCTTATCTCATAGCGTGGGAGCAATGTAGCAATTTAAGCAAACCATCCTTCTTACAACAAGCTAGAAGTAAGAAAAGGTCCCGGAGTGGTGGCCCATACCTCTCACCCCCGCATTCAGGAGGTTGAGGCAGGAGGACCTCAAGTTCAAGGTCAGCCAGGGCTATATAAAAAGACCTGTCTCTAAACAAAAAAAAAAAAAGAAAAGGTTATTGTTGGTTTGTTTTTCTGAGGCAGGGTTTCAGGAATCCCAGACTGGTCTTGAATTTGCTGTGCAATGGGAATTGGCCTTGATCTTTAAGTCTCTACCACCCACGGGCTAAGATAACAGGCGTGCAATATTATGCTTGTGCAGAAAAGCTTTTTAAAATAAGATAGAAACACCAGCTGCCATAAACTCAAAGACACTCCAGCTGCAGTCCTGGAAGCACATAATACAGACCTAACTTCAAGCTGTCACCCGGGAACAGCCTGAAATGTGGCCATTAGAGGGAGATTCCCCGTTGCCTTCCCCTGGAGCTTGGGAACAGGTTGCAGGTGAAGCAGCAGCAGTGTGAGCCGGAGTGGAGGTGGAAGCTGGTGTCGAACACAGGGTAGGGCTGGAATTTGAGAGTCTAGGGTTCCACTCCCATAGCCCAGAATGGGATGCTGTGCCTCTGTTTGGGTTTGAATGAGATAATAGATAATTTAGTGTGAACTTACTCACACTAATAATAATAGTAGTGGGTAATAGAATAAATACTTGTGAGATATTATTTACATTGGTATAGTTTTTATATATTAATACAAGTTCAAATTATATTTGTTTTTTCTGTTTACAATATTTGTACACCTATGCAAAGTTATTTTGTCAGGTTGTATGCATGCATGTTTCTACCTCTGTCTAAGACATTTTGTATATAGATACAATTTTTAGGATATATTTTCATATTGTATTATATAGTCCTACCTCTGATCAAGATACTTATACATTGTTTACATTTTGTTTGTTTGTTTGTTTGTTTTGCTTTTTCGAGACAGGGTTTCTCTGTGGCTTTGGAGCCTGTCCTGGAACTAGCTCTGTAGACCAGGCTGGTCTCGAACTCATAGAGATCCACCTGCCTCTGCCTCCCAAGTGCTGGGATTAAAGGCGTGCGCCACCATCGCCCGGCTTATTGTTTACATTTTGAAGTCATTTTCCTCATTGTTTCCTCATTGTTTCCTCATTGCACAGTTGTTTATAGATTATTTAATATTCTGATATGAAGTCTTAGTCTTTAAGTTATATAGGTATTAAGTATGATAGGTCAATAGTTTTTCATGTTTATTATACATATAGTCAGATTAATTAGGTTATTTGGATACATAGAGATTGTATTCTGCCTAGATAGGTAATCTTCAACCACTTCAAGGATCTGTGGAACGTGGCATTTAAATAACTTAGGGTTCTGTTGACTTCAGACACAATTGCTCCTGACAGCACCTGTAGAAGGAGAGGCGGGCCGCTTCCTGCCACCCGGCGTGGGTGCCACTCTGTTGCAAAGATGAGCGGTGAGCAGGCTGTGTCCTGCCCAGTTCCTGGCCGCCTGGCTAATCCCCAAAATAATTACATGGAAACTGTATTCATTTAAACACTGCCTGGCCCATTAGTTCCAGCCTCTTATTGGCTAATTCTCACATCTTGATTAACCCATTTCTAATAATCTGCGTAGCACCACGAAGTGGTGGATTACCAGGAAGATTCTAACCTACGTCCATCTCGGGCTGGAGCTTCATGGCATCTGCCCAACTCTGCTTTCTTTCTCCCAGCATTCTGTTCTGTCTACTCCACCTATCTAAGCTGTTGTCCTATCAAAAGGCCAAGGCAGTTTCTTTATTTGACCAATGAAAGTAACATATAGACAGAAGGACCTCCTACTCCAAGACATGTCTATTCCCGAGACATTGTTGAGCACCAAAGACACTCCACTTGGAGTTTGTTTTCTTCTTGGCACAATTGGCCTTTGAGCAAAAAACTGCCCATGCCTCGACCACTGACAAGGTACATGGTATCTGGACTGGATAAGCAGGCCACAAGAAAAAGACTGCCAAACCTTGCCAAGACAGGATAAGAAAGTTCTAAAACCTTTCCTGCCTCTGAAAATGGCCTTAGCCAAAGTTGGTTGCCTCTTTCCTGTTTCGTGAGTTTGCCCCTTATAATAAAGAAAAATATAATTGGTCTTGTAGTATTTCTCGGCCCGAGATAATTCAACAGGTATGTCCTGTAAGCCTGTGACTGGGTGTAAGATATTAACAACAAAGGAGCTGCGTGGGGGGGCATACTGTGATCTGAGGCCAGAGTAGGCTACAAAGCAAGTTCCAGACCAGCCATAGTGTCAAAGTGATACGTTATCTCAAGAAAAGAAAAGAAAAGAAAAGAAAAGAAAAGAAAAGAGAAGAGGAGAAGTCAGCAACACGGACAATGCAGATCCAGGTCAAACAGGGATGTATGGAAATCCTTCATGGTTTGCTGTCAATCGTTCTCTCTATAAAATCACTCAGGTGTGGTGGCACCTGCCTATAATCCCAGCATTAATGAGGTTGAGGCGAGGAAATACAAACTTAAGGTCACCCTGAGCTGCATAACAAGATACTGTCTAAATAAACAAGCAAATGAGAGACTTAAAATGTTCTCGCTGTCAGGGAAATGCAAATCAAGACAACTTTAAGATATCATCTTACACCTGTCAGAATGGCTAAAATAAAAAACACCAATGATAGCCTTTGCTGGAGAGGTTGTGGAGAAAGGGGTACCCTCATCCATTGCTGGTGGGAATGCAAACTTGTGCAACCACTCTGGAAAGCAATGTGGCGGTTTCTCAGGAAATTCGGGATCAACCTACCCCTAGACCCAGCAATACCACTCTTGGGAATATACCCAAGAGAGGCCCTATCATACAACAAAAGTATATGCTCAACTATGTTCATAGCAGCATTGTTTGTAATAGCCAGAACCTGGAAACAACCTAGATGCCCTTCAATGGAAGAATGGATGAAGAAAGTATGGAATATATACATATTAGAGTACTACTCAGCAGTAAAAAACAAGGACTTCTTGAATTTTGCATACAAATGGGTGGAAATAGAAAACACTATCCTGAGTGAGGTAAGCCAGACCCAAAAAGAGGAACATGGGATGTACTCACTCATATTTGGTTTCTAGCCATAAATAAAGGACATTGAGCCTATAATTCGCGATCCTAGAAAAGCTAAATAAGAAGGTGAATCCAAAGACAAACATATACGCATCCTCCTGAATATTAACCTTCCTCAGGTGGTGAAAGGAGACAGAGACAGAGACCCACATTGGAGCACCGGACTGAAATCTCAAGGTCCAAATCAGCAGCAGAAGGAGAGAGAACACAAGCAAGGAACTCAGGACCGCGAGGGGTGCACCCACACACTGAGACAATGGGGATGTTCTATCAGGAATCCACTAAGGCCAGCTGGCCTGGGTCTGAAAAAGCATGGGATAAAAACGGACTTGCTGAACATAGTGGACAATGAGGACTACTGAGAACTCAAGAACAATGGCAATGGGTTTTTGATCCTACTGCACGTACTGGCTTTGGGGGAGCCTAGACAATTTGGATGCTCACCTTACTAGACCTGGATGGAGGTGGGTGGTCCTTGGATTTCCCACACGTCAGGGAACCCTGATTGCTCTTCGAGCTGATGAGGGAGGGGGACTTGATCGGGGGAGGGGGAGGGAAATGGGAGGCGGCGGCGGGGAGGAGGCAGAAATCTTAAATAAATAAATAAATAAATAAATAAATAAATAGGATAAAAAAAATGTTCTCTCTGCCCTGGCTCCCTTCCCACAAGCAGTGAGATCCAGGCAGTTGCTAGCTCCGTGGGAATCTCTACAGAAGTGCCCATCATTCAGCCTGGTGCTCCTTGCTCTTAGCTTCATGTGTTTTCCGCAGCCTATGACACCTCACTGAATGGTGGTGGCTCAGAATCCTGCAGGAGCGCGGGTATTCAGGCAGGGACCCCGAGCTGTGCACCCCTGGCCAGGCTAGGACAGCCCCCCCCCCCCCCCCCCCCCGCCATGCTGTGCAGCAGCCTCAATGGGCCTCTGACCTCTGTGCTTTCTTCCTTCTAGGTGTTGTTCCCAGACAGCTGGAAATGACAAGGGTCTCCTGAGACCTCCCATTCCACCACCTGCCCATGAAGACCTGGCCATCATTGTCCGCTGTCCACACTCCCAGTATGTTCAGCCTTCTGCTCCTGGCTGCCTCACTGAACGCTCAGAATCAAAGTAGGTTTGGGTCTTCTGCTAGAGGGAGGGTTGCAAGGGTGCAGACAGAATGGGAAGGACAGACCGAGGTCAGAGCCAAGTGATGTCTGCTGCCCAGGAGACTCAGCATCAAAGACTCACAGGAGGGTTGATGCCCCTGGGTTACACAAGAGTGAGCTGTGAGGATGGCTAACAACAGAGAAAGAGCCAGCAACACTTGGAGTTGATGTTAGAACACTGAGGGGGTGCCCAAAACTACACCTAGGCTGCAAGGAAAAGAGGGTGTCCTGGCCAGGCAACGGGGGCAGGACAGAACTGAGGACCTGCTTAACCTCCTCTGGATACATCCAGCTTTGTCCCACAGCCTAGGCACCCTCTGGACCCTTAATCAATTGGAGTGAGTATAGAAAATGGGGCCCATGGAGTTCCCCCAACACAGCTCTCCAGATCTGACATCCCCAGAGAGGTCGTGGAATCACTGCCAGTGCGTGTGTGCCAATCTCTGACTCAATCAGTGTGAGATATCCCATCCTGTCTCTTGGAGGCCTCCACACCTGGTTCACTGCCCACGGCCTACAAGGGCAGCCAGCAACTGTCCCGCAGCTCTGCCTTTGCCCATGTGTGATCATCTTCTCCACACAGGCTGGGACCTTGCTAACTGCACCCAGGGCGTACTGTCTGTGCCTAGAGGCAGCCGCGCAGAGATGAGCTGTAACATCTCCAATAACTTCACTTACGTCACCATCTGGCTAGAAAACAACATCATCTTCAATAAGACGCCCCAAGGATACTTCCGCTGGAAAGAGTGGGAGCTCCACGTTCAAGGGGGCCAGGCACAGCTCGTGATCAGCCGCACCCAGGATGTCCACACAGGGGTATACTTGTGGTACCTGCGCGGATGCCAGGGAGATTTCAAAAACATCACCCTGAATGTTTCAGGTGAGGTGGGGTCTGTGGAGTAAGGGGGTAAGAGGGGATAAAGGCTCCAGTATGTAGAGTGTGGTGATTTGGGGGACAGGAAGGAGGGCAGAGAGGAAGGCAAAGAGCTTAATCTGTCTGAGATGTAGAAAGGAGCTCCATTGTTCAGGGCAGAAGACCATCTAAGCCTTGACTGAGAATGTGCTTAGCCTTGGTGACCACAGAATGAGGTCCCAGTTCCAGGAGTACCCACACTACAGTGACCCTGTCCCCCTCCCCACAGCGTCTTCCACCACGGAAGCTTGCCCTGGACTTTGTGTGCCTTAGAAAAAGAAAGTTCAGTCAAGTATGATATGATCCCAGCACTCAGGAGGCTGTGAGGCAGGAGAATCATGAGTTCAGGGTCAGACCTTGTCTCAAAACAAGAACCAAAGAGCAAAGACCCACACACACTTCCTGTTGCGATGACAAAAATCCATGACCAAAAGTAACTTGGGAGAGGAAAGGGTTAATTTCAGCTTATGAGCAATGTCTGTTATTGAGGGAAGTCAGGGTAGGAACTCAAGCAAGAACTTGAGACAGAAACCATGGAGGAAATTGCATCATAAAAATGCCAATCAGCCTAACCGTGAGGGTCACCCTCTTAGAAACACCCTCTAGCTTTTCAGTTCACTGTGTGACTGTCAAAGGGAGGCCTGCAGCCAGGAGCCACCATTTGGGAATTCCACCACAAATAACCCCCGAATGGCAACAGACAAAGCCTTTGTCTCGATTTCTTTAGTAGATGTGGGAAAACTAATACAAGGGAATTATCCAAGCTTGTGATAAGATAACAATGAGTGTTCTAGAGACTGAAAGACACGGCAGAGACTGGTCCAAAAGAACAATGTTACTCAATTCCGTCCTACTGATGTTCTGTAGCAATATGGACCTAGTGTTACTAAGCAACCTGGGCAACGTTTTTGTTTTTTTTTTTAAAAAGAGAAGCATGTGGTTTTATTGTTGATGAACAATGCCCAATTGTATCAATAATAAAAATATAAGTGTTTAAACTTCAAGAGAGACAGAGAAGAAAGAAAGAAAGAAAGAAAGAAAGAAAGAAAGAAAGAAAAGGAAAGAAAAGAAAAAAAAGAAAAGAAAGATGCTATTCACGGGGCTTCTGTCTAACCCTTCCTTCCTCTTCCTTCTCCTTTCCTTCTTTCTTCCCTCCATTCTGTCTGTCTCTCTATATCTCTGCCTTTCTGATTCTCTCTCTCTCTCACTCACTCGCTCTCTCTCTATCTCTCTCTCTCTCTGAACAGGTCTCACTGTGTAGCCCCGGCTGGTCTGCCTACCTCTGCCTCCTAAGTGCAGGAATTAAAGGTGTGTGCCACCTTAGCTAGCTTTCTTAGATACATCAGGACCACTTGCCCAGGGAATGATGCTGCCCAAAGTAGATTGGACCCTCCTACATCAGTTAACAATCAAGATAATCCCCCACAGACATGCTCACAAGTCAATCCGATCCGTGCAGTTCCTCAGCTGAGACTTCCTTCTCAGGAGGCTCTAGGCTGTGTCAAGTTGGCAGTTAGGCTAGCTAGAATACTACCCTAGCAACTTTCATGATTCATTCACATGGTGGAAGTAACTGCAGAGGACCCCTGTCCTACCTACATCCCTCTGGTCACCCCTGTATCTCTCTAGAGACTGGTATACCCCGTGATGCCCATCCTTACTGCACCTAGAAATGAGTTCCTCCCAACCTGGAACCCACTGCCCACTCCATCTTCTCTGTGAAGTCTCCATGTCCCTCTTACCCTGCCCATACCAATTGGATCTGTCATAATCCCTGAGCCCCTGAAGGTGAGCCTGATGCTTGGTCCCTCCTGGGACCAGCCAGCCCTGCAGGACTGCAGCTGGAATTGGGGGTGCAAACACATAACATCCAACCTGATGGTATGTCTCTGGCAGAGCCTTCAAACAAGGATGAGCCCACAGACAAGAGGCTATCCACACCCCCCTCAGGTAGGTGTCCTAACCCTGTCCCCAGGCTTCTTAGCATCCCAGCTGCTCCTGATGCCATGGAGCCAAGTGCTGGCCACCTGGGACCTTTCACCCTTAGCCCCTCCTGAACTTGCTCACCAGATGTCACTGCCCAGGAGGGTGTGGGGTCAGCGGGTGGTGAACAATGGACATCGTGGGACTGTGAACCAGGGAGGATATAGTAAAGGACCAGTGTGGCAAACATCACCCCTGACTACTCCTGCCCGCTTCAGACGCACTGATCCAGCCCAAGAGAGCTCCACTAGAGGACGGGCCTGAGACCCTCGCGGGAGTCCTGGTCGCTGTCATCCTGATCTTGGGACTCACAGGAATCGGCGCACTAATCTGCTACAGGCGCTACCATTCAAGAAGTCCCCATGGATATGTACTTCAGTGACTGATCTGAGGTATGGGTGGGGTCTTTCTGGGTCCTTACTTCGTACCTCATTGAGGTGTCCCCTGAGTTCTGCTTCAACAGGGGTTCAGAGGGATCATGGAGGTCACACAGGGCCAAGACCGCAGGTCCCACTGCAAGGATTTTTTCCGTCTTCTAATAGCAAAGAACATAAGTCCTGAATTGGGTTTGCAAGGATCACTTGTTCTCGGGGCTCTATTCTGACCCTTGGACAGCTTGGGGAGCAGCATGTAGTCTATAATCCTCAGGATCCTCTCGGGACTCTTGGGAACCTGTGGTTTCTGATCCAGGGTGTTTCAGACTTTTGGCACCCTGGAAGTAAGTTCACTGTGGGCTTAGACCCAGGTTCTGCTGGGAGGAGAAGTGTGAGAACAAGGTGGGTGTTCCCAGCTTAGGTGGTATCACCGTGTCTGAGACGATGGACCACCTGTACACGCCTGTGCTTCCCTGGACCCAGGTCTGAGCGCAGGGGCTCACCCTCCCCCTCTCCTTTCATCTCTCCCTGTCTATACAAGGAGGTTCTAAGTCTGTGGGCCAGCGGAAGCTGAAGGAGCTGCCGGCGGAGCTGATTCCAGAGAGAGGCCACCAGGATGGGCATGTCATGTTCTTAGCCCTTGGCAGCTGCTACGACTCTCTGGAACCCAAACACCACGGAGCCATTATCACATGCTTGGCAGAGCAGAAGACTGTTCATGTTTGCTGGGCACAGAACTTTCCCAAGGGTGGAACCCTTGGTTCTATGTAGAGGAGGGGAGAGTGACTCACTGAGGAAGGGCCTTGGAAGCTGGAGAACATCTGGGCATCTCTCATTCACATGAACAAGAAGACAGCTGTGGCACAAATTCTAATTAGTATTAATAATAAAAACCTGGACTCAGATCCTGGGTTAAAGCTGAAAGATCAGAGAAGCAGAGCAGCCAGCCACTAGGGAGTTCTTACCTCTACCAATGCCCAGACCAAAGGGGTAATCAAAACCTCGGACTGCATCCGTCTCTATGAAGCCTTATACTGCATTCTCAGAATAAACCCACAGACAGCATCTGAGCTCCTGTCTCCTCCCACCTATATTCCCCTCTCTCTGCCCAGCCATATCCCTTCCCGTCTCCATCTCCCTGGTGCTGGGATTAAAGGTGTGAGCCACCACCACCTGGCTTCGTTTCTTTTTGAGACTGGATCAATTTGGTGAAGCCCACAGTGGCCTTGAACTAACAGAGATCCGTAGGCCTCTGTCTCCCAAGTCCTGGGATTAACGGTGTGTGCCACCACTCCCTGGCCTCTAGTGGCTTAGCTCTGCACTCTGATCTTCAGGCAAGCTTTATTTGTTAAAACACAAACAAAATATCACTACATTCAGCTTCTGGACTACGGTCTTCAATCATCTGATCAGCTCCTCAACTCTTTGCAAAAGTGAGAATTTCCAAGCTGCACAGCTCTTGACCCTCAGCATCCGCACTCTCTTCCTCTTACAAAGGCCTGGGCTCCTTTTCTTCTGCTGGGCCCCTGAGGTCAATGTCTGTCCACTACCCAAAGATCTCCAGTGCAAGCCTAGGCTGCACCAAGATTTGCTTCAAGTAGGAGGGGGCCACACACCTGCTTTCTGACTCACAATAGTAACCGATCTGGGAATCTCAAATATCAAGTTTGGGGGCCGAAATAGGAAGATTAGAAGTCTGAGATAAACTATCCCCCACTCCTGCCCCTGGAAGGTAGGGTGCCCTCAGGAATAGAGGACTATGGAAGAAGGGTGTAGGTTCTTTCTGGCAGGTATTGCTCTCCTAGGGAAGGTGGCCAACCCTGGAACTCCCCAGCCCCAACCCAACTCCCTGATTCGTATCCATGCCCCACTGTCCTTTTCTGGCATTTGTCTCGGTTACAATCCTGGTTTTCCTTAAACATACATTAAAAAGGGAATTTTTTTATAGAAACTCCATGCTTTATTATTATTTTATTATCATTGTTGTTGCGTATGAACATGGGTATGGGCATGCCAGGACGTGTGTGTGAAGGGCGTCAGCTCCTGCTTTTCACCTCGTCCTGAGGCAGTATCTCTCTTGATACTTCTGCTGGGCTGTATTTTCTAGCCTAACTTGCCCACAAGCATTCAAACAAGTCTCCGACCTCCACCGCCTACCCTACCCTGAGAGTGCTGGGATTACACGCCACCACATCCGGTTTCTTCATAGGTTCTAGGATTGAACTCAGGTCACTGGGCAAATGCTTTTACTTGCTGAACTCCTTCATTGACCACAAGATATGCCACCCTTTAGACAATCACCTGGATGTAATCTTCAGATAAATAATAAACTAATAAAGAGACCAGCCGGTCAGCTGGGAAATACAGCTATCAAAAGCATAAAAGTCTACAAGAAACCTCACACACTGGGGCCTGAATGAAAGCAGAGGCCAGAGATGCTGCCTGCTGCTTGTGGCCTCCAAAGCCAGCCCCATGGTATCTCTGTGGCTGCAGGAGGACCTGAGCTTCCCAGATCAAACTAAGGTGAAATACAGCACTTCAATGCTGTTCTTTGTTTGGGGCCATGTGTTAGTTACTTCTCTTGTTGTTGGACCAAAATACCCAACACAAGCAGCCTGGGAAAGAAAGGTTGATGTGGGCTCAGTTTGAGGATACCGTCTGTGGTAGCAGTGAAGGCCTGGTGGCAGAAGTGTGAACATCATAGCAGGGAAGGCCTGGTGGCAGAAGTGTGAACATCACAGCAGGGAAGGCCTGGTGGCAGAGGTGTGAATGTCACAGCATAGAAGGCCTGGTGGCAGAGGTGTGAACATCACAGCGGGAAAGGCCTGGTGGCAGAGGTGTGAACATCACAGCGGGGAAGGTCTGGTAGCAGAGGTGTGAATGTCACAGCGTAGAAGGCCTGGTGACAGAGGTGTGAACATCACAGCGTAGAAGGCCTGGTGGTAGAGGGGTGAACGTCACAGCGTAGAAGGCCTGGTGGCAGAGATGTGAACATCACACTGGGGAAGGCCTGGTGGCAGAAGTGTGAATGTCACAGTAGGGAAGGCCTGGTGGCAGAGGTGTGAACGTCACAGTGGGGAAGGCCTGTTGGCAGAGGTGTGAACATCACAGCATAGAAGGCCTGGTGGCAGAAGTGTGAACATCATAGCAGGGAGACCTGGTGGCAGAAGTGTGAACATCACAGTGGGGAAGGCCTGGTGGCAGAGGTGTGAACATCACAGCGTAGAAGGCCTGGTGGCAGAAGTGTGAACATCACACTGGGGAAGGCCTGGTGGCAGAGGTGTGAACGTCACAGCAGGGAAGACCTGGTGGCCGATGTATGAAGCAGCTCGAAGTATTGTGTTCACAGACAGGAAGCAGAAAAACCGAATGCTGGTACCCGGCTTGCTCTCTCTTTTCTGGCCAACCTGGAATTCCAATCCCAGCCCATGGGGTGGAGCCACCCACATCCTCCTCCGTTAAACTTTTCTGGAAACACTGCCTGACGCATCCAGAGAGGTGTGATTCCATGGTGATCCTAAATGCAATCAAGCTCCCCTGTTCCCCTCTCACACTGGGCGACAGCGTGAGGCCCTGTGTGCCCTGGCTTCTGAAGCAAGAGCTGTCATGTGTTTTCTAACCCAGTGAAGTATGCTGATGCAACAAGATTCATCAAAAGTCAGTTCTGAGCCTCTGCCGAGGAGGGAAACTTCAAAGTCCATGAAGTTCCTCTTCCCCCTGCAGCTACAGGAACCCTAGAACAAAACCTAGTCGGGAGCTTCAATTGTGCTCACTTTGCTATGGCTTCTGTCTCCCCGATTTTCTCTTCTGGGCACTGAGTGGGAGCCAGTCCCTCGGTGCTTTTCTGCTCTGGTTCTCTCTGTCTTCAAAGCCAAAGACACAGAATCCCTATAGGGTCCTTCGAAGGCCACCTCGACAGATGCTGCCTGGTCCAAACAGGTTAGTCCTCGTAGAGTAGGAAGCTAGTCCCAAGAAACTCATCTGTACCTACACTGTCCTGCGGTCCATGTCACGGGACCTCAAACTCACCGCCAGCACAGGGAGTAAGTCTGCAACTCAGGCAGGAATGTGTATGATGATGCACACGCATTGACTATGCATGTGCACATGAGATCTCCGTGCACAGTGACACGCACTGACTCTGTCATTAGCATTACATGAGATTCGGGGATAGTACATGCTTCTGCTGTTCTGGGAGGTCAGAGCCAGCAGGGTCTTTGACCTTGGGTCTGAACACAAGCCTGTCACTCTCTTCCTAGGAGAAGGGCCACTCTTGGGTCTCCTGGCTACCCATTGGTCCTGACCAATTGCCTCTGCTCTGCTCCTGGGGCAGTCACAGCCTGCGGTCGCTTCTTCAGGGCCAGAACCAGGTCTTCTTCAGCCAGGCTAGTCTTTTAGTTCAGATGATGGTACAGATGTAAGGACATAGTCAGACCTCAAAGACCAAACTCCGGATAGCAGAGACCTCAGCTGCATTCAGATCCCTCCCTCTACCCTGTGTCCCCATCTTTCCTGCTGCTCCAGCCCCTAAGACTCTGCTAACGCTCTCCTCACTCTGCTTCCCCTACCCCATCACTGATGGCTCAAGCCAGTCCAAATAGGTTCATGAGTAACCCACGCCATTGACCACCTGGATACGGAGACACCTGTAGAACTCAGCGTCCCAAGAAGAGAACACACAGAGACATGAGCCATATCTACAGAAGATCCTGAGTGTGACCATGGGGTCACGCACGCAACCCCAAGAAACATGAAAGACAAAGGCAAGGACTGGAGAGATGTCTCGGTTGCTAAAGGGATTGCTTTACAAACATGAGGACCCAGTGATCCCCAGAACCCATGTAAAAAAATTAAAAGCTGATTATGACGTGCACAGTTGTGATCCCAGCACTGAGGAGGTACAGACAGGAGGATCCCTGGAGCCACTGGCCAGCCAATCTAACGGTGAAACCCAGGCCAGTGAGAGACCCCATTTCAAAAATGCAAAGGGTGCTTAAGGTAAGATACT